GGAAACCGCGCGCTGGATTATCCTTTACCCTTAGCACAATTACAAATTTCACGGTGGCACTTAACACTATGCAAAGTAAGTATTCCAATGAATATTCAAAGTGCTCCGGCGGGAATAATCGCAATGCCAAGTATCTATGCTGAATCTCGCGGATTGCGTCGCGAACAGCGCTAATTTAAATAGATTTACATTAAAAACAAACATGCCAAAACATCCATCTAAACGGGTCAAATATCAACGCAAACTCCAAGGTATTCTTCGCTAGACGATCATTTCCCATTTGAATGAAATTATAATTGCAAAAGGGTACGAATAAATCTCGCGGAACGTGCAGGTGAATATTCCGGCGCCATTCATTTCCTATCCTTCGCGATGATTCGTTTCGTTCGCGTTCCACTCAAATTTCCAGTCGAAGATTCGTCCTTGGCTTCGCCTCATTCGAAAAACAGTCGAACACGATGGAAGAAAAATATCTGTGTCGGTCATCACGCGTTTGAAAGCGTATTAGAAAATGGCACCTATCGTCCATTTTATGTCGGTGATCACGCGTTTGAAAACGTATTAGAAAATGGCACCTATCGTCCATTTTGTGTCGGTGATCACGCGTTTGAAAACGTATTAGATAATGGCACCTATCGTCCATTTTGTGTTGGAGATCACGCGTTTGAAAACGTATTAGAAAATGGCACCTATCGTCCATTTTGTGTCGCGTCGATCGATACCGCCATATATATATATCACGAGAATATTTTTGGAAGAATGATAAATCGGCAATTAAACAGAAGTAAATAAATTCGTATTTATTTCGATAAGGGTTTGAGTCACTTTCTCTTTGGGAGAAAGGAGATAATTACTTTTTTATTGTGTCCGGATATTTATCTTATTTTCCACTATACTATTTTTCATTGTATTATTTTCTGTATATCCCTTTCTGTAATATACGTATACGTAATATGGAATTTCATATATTCAATTTTCCCACTGGAAAGGAAAGTAAAAAATTTCATAGATTTATCGTTGACTTTCCACTAATCTCTCAAAGCACTCATAGCAAATTAAAACTGAAGAACTAACTCATTTGTCTCGAAAAGAAAAAAGAAAACGAGATACGAGGTGCGAGATAAGATTCGATTAGCCGCAATTACAACGATAAATCATAAATGAAAATAAAATTCCTCGCTTTCGATTACCATAATGCACTTTTAGTATATATCAGTGATCCAAGTTCGTGCAATCGGAGAAAAATAAATTTCCTCGTAACCCGCTTACGCGCTTGCGCACGAACTATACGAAGATATTGAAAATAAAAACAGGAATATTTCGCTTGGAAAATTGTAGCATCGGTAATAACCGATACGCGTGTAAATAAAAAGCGAAATCCGAAAATAAACCGCGTCGTTAGAAAAAGCGGAATCCGTCCTAAAATATTCTCCGAGTTACGCTTCGAGTACCTCGAAGCTTTCTGCAAAATCACCTCAGTCATACGAAACAGAAACGTCGGGGAAAAAAGCACGATCAGACCGTGGCAGGCATCGCAAACTTTCCTCGGAGCATCTAGCTCGTGGAGACCATTTACGATTTCAACGCGGACAGTAGGTACCCAGACAGCGGTCTAGGGAAAAAAAAGTAAAAAAGGAAGAGAGGAGAACGAGCAGACGAAAGAACGAACGTCAAAGCTGAAGCCACGGCCGGCGCGGTGGTGGGGGGACAGGAGCGGCGCAACGCGGGGCGCAGAGGGGGGCTAGGGGAAGCGAAGTCCGAGCACCTAGGAGGTATGTACGAGAAGAGAGAACGAAAAGAGACAACAGGCCTGTAGATATTATAAATCAAGAAGAGGTCCGTAAAGGGAAGGTCGGTGGCGAAGGCGAAAGAAGAGCGAGGAAGAAACTCGGGAGGGAAAACAGGGGAGGGCAGGCTGGGGCAAGGGACAGAGGGGAGGGGAGGCATGGTCGTACATCACCGGCGGTATTTACGACGTACCATCGTAAATCAATGATCGCACGAACAGCGCGGTTCAACGAAATTCCTTTTCCCTTCCTATATATGCTCCCCCTTCCTTCCGACCATTCCTTCGCTTCCTGTACACGAGCCGATGTGAGAATCTGTCCTGCCATACATCGCTCCGGACGGTGGATGCTGAAGCCTAAGAATCTTTGAAGGAATCCCTGCCCCACGGCCAAGATATATCGACGATTTATCCGGCAAGACAAAAACTATTTGTCTTCGACTAGCAGAATTTTCGAACGCAAGACGAATTCATCGTGCTCGCGCGATTTATGCGGCTACCCCTCGACGGCATCTCGGATCTCGCGCGCGTGACTTTTTCAAGCCGTACGCGTCGACCTTCTGATCCCCCGGACCGGAGACGTGGCAACGTCGCGCGCTTCAATCCGTTCCGAGAAACGATGGCAAAAAAGAGCGGAGACAGGAGGAAGAAAATATAGAAAAAGGTATAAATCGGTACGATCACGTGTCCAGTGGACCAGGTCGAAAAGCAAGATGGACCGGCGGACTAGGGTCATTCGGTGTTGCAGGCAACAGAGCATTGTTTGTCGGGGCCCTTTAAACGTCATTTAAACCGTGACTCTTGCCAGCCCGGGAAGGATCGTTTTAACGAGGTTTGGGACAGACCAGGTCAGACCTCTTCCACCACCGGCGCACGATTACGCCACGAGGCGATGCCCTTTGCGCCTCGCACCACCTCCAGGAATCAACTTCCCTCGTTCGACACAAAGGTAGATGTGTCCCGTCACAGCTGATCCCGCGTGATCCGTGTAAAATCACGTTGCGCGATTGTCGGGACCCCGACCCCGTCACTCCACGAGTCATCTACCCTGGGGAAAGGCGAATCTTCGCCGCCATCTCGAGAGTACGATTTTACGTCTACTTAGGTCCAGTATGCTGGGGTCTGACTTTATCTAATATTTCTCGACGTTATTTATAATGCTCTCCCAAAAGAGAAGCACTGTCCGGGTATTTCGGTTTATAAAGTCGGAATTACTCGCGGTGAGGTTATGACCTTTGCCTCGCTCTATTTATGCGCCAGATAGTAGATAGGTTTAACGAACCGTCGAAAGTAAGCAAGAATAACTATTTCCCGAATTTTTCTCCTTCCTTCTGTTGAAAATCTATTTTCCCCTATTTTGGAAAGCTCGAGATTGACTTTTGCCCACGTATACAGGCTGTGTCGTTCAATCCTGTGAGATAGTGGGATAACGAATTATTTTATTCTCATTCAACTATTTCTGTAACTCGGTCGTACTTAATATAATCGAATATCGGATGAAAAATAATTATTACATCGCGTGTTTGCGATTTATAAATAATTTCAGGTGACCGAGATAAATGACTCACCCTATATATCTATTTACCCTCGTCGTATCGCTTTAATCATTATTTCTAGCGTTAAATAAATATTACCGCGAGTGATTGCTTATCTCGATTTATTTTATCGCTCGTAAAATATTTCCCAGATCACCAACTTCGCGCTTGCTATATCGGCCTACCAAAAATTTGTTTACCCGCGCGGCGCGCGTAAAGGAATTTACTACGCGTAATTTTTACGCGTACCGCGCGGGCGAGACAAATGTCCCCTTAAAAAAGGAGAGAAAAAGAAGAAAAAGGGAAAAAAATGAGAGGAAAAAAGGCGGAGAAAGCAAAGGAAGACAGCGGAGGATGCGTAGCATCTTGGCGGGGACAGCCGTAAAAAAGGCGCGGTGGAAAAGATGAAAGTGACCCTCGAACGGACTTTGAAAAGAGCCATAAAAGTACAATGAGGGGTTAGAAGGAAGACGCCTTCGCTTTCAGCGGACTGGATGACGACGGGTAAGGGGGCGTTCAACGGAGGGCCTTGGCTCCCAGAAAATTCGTGTTTTTTACTCGAACGTCGGGAAAGATTACAAAGGACGGAAAGGGGACAAAACCTTTTTAAGATCTACGAGAAGAAGCGAACGTCTCCGCGCTTAGGTGATGAAACTCGCTCGCGCTTGTTACGAGCGACGCTTTATTATCGGAACGAACTCCGTAAGTCATTTTTGAGGAACGATCGCGTTTCACGGTGACTCGACGCGCTGCCCACTAGCTCCCCCACGCCGCCGCGGAGTGGGGGCAAACTCTCACGTGGCAGTGTCTCCGAGTTTTTATCCTAATTTACCGACCGCTTCGCTAATCTTATTTGCTCGAGCTGGACGCGGTTTAATTCCATTAGCGAAATTAAAGTTCTAGCAAAGAGCATTTAACTGCGGATCGATGCTACTAACCCGCAAACCATTAAGATAAACCCCGTTGAAGTCAATTCGAAATAACGCGATAGTGGGGAACTTTTTACGTTACAGCTATTGCGTTTATCCCCGTAGAAATTACGTATAACGTTTAACGAGCATTTTCCTTCGATTTTCATAACCTACGAAATAAATAAACGTTGATTTTTTCTATATAACATTTCGAGTTTGGACTCCGAATGATTATTATTAATTACTTTTAATTAGCATTCGTGAAATTTTTGGTATCCTCTATGGTAATAGTATTTACGAAATTCAATATCGTTCGTATATACCGAAATTTGTATATTTATTCTAAATAATAGGTGGAAACCTTGCAATAAAAGATAAACGTTACGCGTTATACTTGTCACGTGGTTTGAAATTACCAGAACTTAACGTAGGAACGGAAAAGAAAATTACTTTTCTCGCTTAACTGCACGAAAATTGCTCGGAATTTCCATTCGATACTGCATCCGTTTGAAATCTATCCACTATGCTACAACTACAACAAATTTTTTCCCGTATTATACTTAATATACCTGCTATTTCCTAAACGCGTTAAGAAGCCCTATATTCGAGATGCGCGAATACTATTAGCCACGACGCGAACACGTATTCGTTTCGACTTAAAGGTAATAAACGTAATAGCGCGACTAGCGAGTAAAAATACGAAACTCGCTGCGCGCCATCTACATGAGCCAATTAGAAGCGATCAAGCGCGCGAAAGGGAAATATAACTCACCTGATATAAATGATGACCCCGTTGGTGCATATCCTTTTCCATCCACGTGGTACCGTAATCGCGTGTTGCTGCTGCTGCTGTTGCTGCGTAACCACCGCACTACCGTTCATCGTCAGCACTACATTTTGTTGCACAGAATTGTTATTGTTCGAGCCGTTGATGCGTGGCAGCGACGGCTGACGCGCAGCCTGCTGCGCGCACGCACCGCCGCCGTTAACCGTCGCAGCAGACAAACCGTCGTGTGCCGATTGACTTTGACTTTCGGGACTGCTCAGGCTACTATAAGTCGACGATTCACCGGTATCAGAACGGACAGAGTCACAGCTAGTTGCACCACTACCACCACTACCGACAACGACAACACTACCGCCACCACTAACACCGACGTTCGAACTGGACGAAGAAAGCGACGAGCCGGTTTGGTTATCGAAACCGTCCTGTTGCCGGCTCTTCTCGTCCATATTGATACGCTGTTCGACACTGTCACCTTGAAAGACACTCGCGGACGCTTGAGACGGTTCGTTTCCCTGTCGCACGTAAGCGACACAAGCGTCGTCGCTTAAAAGACCAACGCAACCCTCCCCGTGATCACCCTGCGTGATCTGACTGCTATTATTATAACCGTCGGCCAGTCTTGCTGCCGCTGGATAAATTTCACCGTGGATTCTCGATGGAAATAATTTGTTAGGTAGCATTTCACCAGCGTTTATCTTGCCGATCGGCTCCACGTTCGTTGCGAGGTTCTCGGTATTATTCGAATCGTTTTCTAATGGATTCCGATTCGCCGGATTCTTACTGTCACATGCCGACGCTACGCACGTCATGGTAGATGTCGCGGACGTGCTGGTCGTTTGAACCAGACTCGTCTGTCTGTATAGCAAACCGTTGTTCGAGACGATCGTTCCATAATCTTCTTCGTCTTCGGTGTTACCGGTGGACATGGATCGCGCCGACCGGCTCGATTCCCCATCGGTGGACACATACTCGAGTGGCTTTAGCCGGCAGCAGTTATTAACCGCGCTTCCAACAGCGCCGTTGTTATCGTTGCAATAAATGGCGGTTTTGGCGGGAAACGGCGCCGCCGCCGTCGCCACCTGCGGCGGCAGAATGCCGGCGTACGTCGCCTGCTGCGGAGACTGATAGCCGACTGCGGTGGCAGCAGCAGCAGCGGCGGCGGCATTCTGACCGACCGCCGTCGCGTACGCAAAATTCTCTCCCGATACGTAGACTAGAACACTATTTTGCTGAATCCCCTGTGTATGCTGAGGATGTTGTTCTTGATGTTGTTGCGGGTGCGTTTGTTGCTGGTGTTGCTGGTGTTGCTGCTGCTGCTGCTGTTGGTTATGATGATGATGATGACCGTGATTCGGGAGAGCAGGGTGCGTGGACGGCTGCTCAGGCTTGCCGGCCATGGTCCAGGTCCAGCAGCGCTGCAAGTAACCCCGACACCGACATCACTGGAACGCAGGTAGCACGCCTACGTGGAGACACCTCCGGGTTCTGCCGCATCCTCCATAAACGGGAATGATCACGCGTTAGCCACCACCGAAATCCGCCGCGTTCTTTCGGTCGTTCCTCTTGGCCACGCACGCTCACCGATCTTTCCGATCTTTGCTATCTCACACCTGTCATACGCGTTCTCGTTCTTCGACATCCTCGGCACTACCGCACACGGCATGCCGGATGAGTAGTTCACCGGTAGTTCTTTCACTTTTTCTCTCTTTTTCCTTCGCGTCGTTGTAGGGTTTTCAAGTCACACACATAACCTCTCACTTTCCTCGTAGCTGCGCGCTGAAAAACGATAACGATGCCAAGATTTTGAAATCGAAGAGTTGCCGTCGGACGACAGACACGCGCTATTCACCGGTCAATGCCCGTCTAACCTCTCTGCCGCGATCGGTGCACTCTACCATGATACTAATTTCGTTGGTGGTTCGTAATTTTAATGCATCGAAGATCACGGTAGAATTACGTCGGTATTCTTCTTCTCCGCCGGACTCGAATTACGGGAAAATAATACGATGAGTCAACACTTTCCATTCGGTCAATATGTTTTCGTTTCGAAAAGTAGTTTGTTCTAACAATAAAAGAGCATTACTTCGCTTTCTTCTCGGAACGCTTATACGGGCCAACGAATTTCTTCTGTGAAAGAATATTTTAAAACAGAACAATTATTTAGAGCGGATAAGTAAATCATGTTTTCTTGAATAAATTCTATGATTTTGGAGCAGGACGAATAGCAGCGTATTAAAATTTTTTCGAAAATTTCATTCCCTATTACGGCTCGATATAGAGTAAACGAATAACATTGTTTATTACAAAATTACGCTCCTGCTGTCATTTACAAAGCGACGGCTCACTCATTTGTCTCGTTCACCGATTCAGTCGCGTTGAAACAACACAATGGGGCCAAGCATTCAACTAACCTAGACTCTTGAACACGCTGTTATTCGTAACGCGTGTAGTAGGTTAAGCTAGAAAGCTATGTTAGAAGTGACAAATTCTTTTTCGAAACGTTGCGTGCACCGACGAGTAATGTGTAACTTAACTTTGGTGGAAAAAGAAGCAATGCTCATAAAGAAAAAAAATGTAACTTTATAAGAAAGTCAGGTCGTTGAGGTCGTTGTGTCATTGCCACGGTCCCGTCACGTTATTCGCGGTCGCAGTTCTGATTACTCCGTTTCACATGTACGCACTTTTCAACGAAGGAACAATGAATAGCACTCAATTATGTCATTGTGAGCCACTGTCACTAAAAAAATACGCTACTCTGAATCTTCGTTCACACACTATAGAAGAAAGCCATTTTCTTCGACACTGAATACGTAAAGGTTAATCGTGACCGAGCCACGACTCGCTCGATCGGTAATGGCGCGAATGCACTCTCGGTACAAAAAACACTTTATATTGCCGTAACAATTCGCGTTAAATCGCACGGACGGACGTACGTCGTGTTATGACGCTGTGTCATCGTCACAGCAGCAGTAGCACCACCACCACCACCACCACTGCCTCCACCACCACCACTAGTACTACCACCACTACCACCGGTCGCGGTTACGAACTCGGGTTAAGTTAACTAACCCTCTTCTCGACTCGAACACCTGCGCGGGCCGCGCTCATCGTTTTCACCGAACCTCACTTCTTGATCGCGTGGAAACGCACGCTTATTATATTCTGACTAGCACAGTTGCCTTGCTTCCTCGCACTGATCCCTCGTCGTCTACTTCGTAATCACTTTCTTTCGTAAAACACTGCTTCGACACAAACTATTGAACGAAATTCCATTCTGCGGATCCTATGCGTACGCTGTTTTCGCGTAACTGATATTGGAAAAATATGGCTCCCTCCGCATACCCAGAAACCTTTGCGGCATCTCGACGGCTGGCTTTCGGGCACTCGTATACGCACGTTACAAAAACATCGACCCTCGCTGCGATTATATCGCCATCGTTAGGCTATTCTACGTAACTCAAAGGCACGTTAACATTGTTACTTCTCATGAACGACACTATTCAATATACTCGCAGGCATATTCCGTTTAAATTTATACGTGCATAATAAATTTTTGACGTGTATCTTTAAAAAAAAAAAACTCCAAAAAAAAAAAATGAAAATATTTATATCGTAATACTTAAATATTATTTTTGAGAGAAATTAGATTCGAATGTTTTAACCAAATAATTTCGTTAAATAATGGATATAAAGAAAATTGAAGTACGACATGCATATGAGGGATCAAAGGTCAATTTTATAACACTTTTTTTTTTTTTTTTTTTTTTTTTTTTTTTTTTATTTTTTTTTTTTTTTTTTTTTTTTTTTTACATACTTGACATTATACTTTTTCCAATTTATTTGAGACGATTCAAAAACGTACTAATCAATCACCAATTTATCTATAATAAATAAGATTATAATACGCGTTTATTTAAATGAGCTATAGTAATTGCGGACGAGTACATGACCTTGTATACAGTAAACTATGTGAATGTTGAAGGCGTGTTTAATTTAATGCAGACGTACGATCATTAAAATGGACTCGCATTTACCGCGCATTATTTAGTTTGAATGAACAAACGAAAAACGTTATGTTAAGAGCAACAGCAGCTTCTCGATAATATTGGTAAATACATTTTCAGAAATTATATACTTTTGCTTTCAGTTCCAAATTACAAATAAATACTGAAACATTTTTTTTTTACATAAAACAATGAATACGCGCAGCAGTCCATTTTCACACACACAGGATTCATTTTCCTCGAATTGTATTTTTAATGAACATAAAATTTTTTCTCGATATCGTCATGTCAGTGTATAAGTTTATAAGCAAATTAAACACTATCTACATGTAATGTAATAACGTCCCATTGAAAAAAAAAGGAAAAAAGTAATTTTGGGATCTATGATCGGATTACATTATATTTCTGTTATAATAAAATATTCACCAATATACTTCGTACTATTTTTATGATCGTCGTTACTAATATAGACATCGAGTTAAATTTCAAAAGCTCGTATATAATCAAACACTAATAATTTAAAGAACTTTAGGGAATACGAATATAGGTAAGGTACTAATTTTGTTTGACTGTCTAACTTTATTTCTAGCATTCAGTATGCGCGTATCAATCAGTGCTGAAAACTGTTAGATAGAAAAAAAATTCACAAATAGCAGAAAGTAATCAGAATGTTCAGCGTTACATGATACAGTTGATTATGTTTTGCGTTTACTATTAACGTTACACAACGTTTGCATTAAATGTTGAGTAAATTCACCTTTCCTTATCACTATGCTTAATGATAAGTACATCTTTTTAAATACTTTTCTACAGCAAGCGATGAACTAATTTGTAGCCAGTTTACCAGTTTTCACGAGAATTTATAGTTTAATTCAAAAGTGGTAATTAATGTACCATCAACAGCGTTAAAGGTTTCCTATACAATTCAGTATTTGTTTGTGATCTTTATATTAGAATCATTAGTGATTCTATAGCTATAGCTCTCACAGTCGTGCACATATCTAAACATTTTTCTCCGATTCTTTTCACCTGTTTTGAAGAACTTTGTTATATGTCCGCATCTTTTCGTTCTTCTGTTAATACATGATTCAGAAACGAGCGAATGGGACAAAAGTTTAAAATGAAAGAATGACCATATTTATTGTGAGACTGATGTAATTGAATTAATTTGTGGCACATTGGACTCCTGTAGAATTGCCTTCGTCTTCGTCATATGCTTGTCGTTGTTCTCTTCGCCTCGTTTCTTGATCCTGATCCAAATCCACGAGATTACAACCCTCTGCTCCCTCGGGAATTATAACCTCTTCCCTTGGTGGCAAACATTGTTCGAGAGTTGGAATGACAGAAGGGTCCATTGTCTTCGGGAAATTTACTATGAATTGAATTACAAGCTTGCCATGTGTGAAAGGATCTTTGTGAATAGGCATTCCTTCATTCAAAATGCACTTTAAGTCTCCATGTTTTACAACAGTCCCCGGATATGAGGTTATCACTAAATCTCTTCCGTCCAAAGTGCGAATAACTTTCTGGAATCCACATAAAGCTTCTACAAGTTCTAATTGCATTCTCATTACTAAATCGCTACGTGAACGCCTAAAATAATATAATTAACATGTACATAGGCAATATATAATGTAATATTAAGTACAACAATCATTAAGGTACTAACCTGAAGACCTCATGTTCCTTCTCTTCAAGTAGGATAACAATATCTCCTGGCTCATAGTCTGGTTCCTGATCACCTTCTCCAGTAAAAACAATCTTCTGGTTATGTACCATACCTGGATCAACATGAACTTCGAGAATCTTTCTATCTCTAATGGTTTTCCTGCCACCGCATTGTTTACAGCGATCACGCGCATTTATACGGTCTCCTTGACCTTTACAGTCTGTACATATAGTTTGCATATGCTGTAGCATTCCCGGTGCTAGTTGTTGTATTTGCACTTGCATACCAGAACCATGACATGTTGAACACTGTTCCACAGAACCTTTCTTTCCACCAATACCTAATAAAAAAAAAAAAATTTTAATACATAACTTTTCCTCAAAGTAAATGTTTAATACATATTATTAAATAACAAAATGTACCATCGCATTTATCACAAATAACGTTCTTCTGTAAAGCTAATTTACGGACAGTCCCCTTGTACAGTTCCTCTAATGAAACAGACAACTGATGTATAACATCTTGACCTCTACGTTCTCTCCTGCGACCACTTCTTCCACCAAAACTTCCACCAAAGAACATTTCAAAAATATCCATAGGTGAAGAAAAGACATTGCAACCCCCTCCGCCTTCTTTTAAAGCTTGTTCTCCTCCTTGATCGTAAATTCGCTTTTTTTCAGGGTTCGACAATACTTCATATGCTTGTGAAATTTGCTTGAACTGTAATGCGAGAATATATTTAATAAGTAAATAGATTCTGTTATTATAAATATAAGTTCTGTTTATTTTAGTACAATTTTGATGTATTATTAAATTTAGGATACTAACTCTTTCTCCTTCATTAGGATTCTTATCAGGATGATACTTCAGAGCAAGTTTTCTATAAGCCTTCTTCAAGTCATCTTGTGAGCAGCCAGGTTTTACACCCAAGACATCATAAAATGTAGTTTCTTTCACCATTTTTATTCGTTTATTCTCTTCAAAAAAAAAAAACATTATTATGATTATATATCTTAATGTAATTAGTTGTTAATTATTTAATACATATTTTAATTTTATAGTTTCCCAAATTGCACAATTTGTTATGTAAGGAAATAAAAATTGTGGTTTTTAAGCATATATTAAATTATCAATTTGAAAAATATAAATATTTAGTCAACTGTTGTACAAATTCTTTTGGCACATTATTATACTTAATATTTAATGCTATATATACCAGTAATTATAAAAGTAGTCTAAATCAAAAATGCAAAAGAAATGAACTTTCCAATTATTTTATACTGCATTTATTTATTTTGCAATAAATTAACGCTACTTTTATAAAGTAGCAAAAAATAGAATCATTGATTAAATTTGTAGTTGAACTAAATTAAATTAAATTTTACAAAATGCAAAACTTTTGATATTTTGAAATAACATATACGATTTAGGCTACTTTCATAATCAATGGTACGTATGACAAACTAGTTGTATTGAACATAACCAATATTAAAAAAAAAAACAGTATTAAAATGATAAAATAAACAATTACATGTTTATTATAACTAGTATCACATAAATAGGATGCTCTAATAAAATACATTAAGTGGGTAAATACATACGATATATCAATTTGTAAGTCGTCAGATTATGCTTTTTATATACATATTTTATATATTATACATATTATATATAACTGAAGCTCTTTAGAGCTTTATCTTCATGCGTATGTGTATTATAAAAGTATTACGCGATTTAAAATCAAACTACATTTTTTTATTTAAGTATATTTGAAAGTCTGATTAAATAATAACAACAAAAAGATCAAATGTTAAATTGAGATATTATCTGTTATGCAATTTGATCATTTATAGGATACATATGTTGTGAATTCATCAGTTATACAGTACGAGATATTAGAATTAAAATTTAAGTATAAATAAGATATACAAATTCAATCGAAAATATATTTTAGGCTATTACATATACTGTTTGAAACAAATATTTAATAAATTATTCGTAATTTATGTTCCTGTAAAACATTAAAATATCATTAACATTAATATATATTATATAGATTTTTACTACAGAAATTTTGTCTACTGACCTTGAACTTCATTTGTAATTTTAGTAATAATATAACGCAATTAAAGGTATATGTATAAAATTATTAAAAAATTACTTAAAATATAAAAATTTTACAAGTGACTTTATGCTGAATACAAATTTTGGAGTAAACATATACAGGACTTCAAAGTACATTAATTATACGAACATAGAAAAGTCTAGCAAATTGTATCCATGTGCGCGTTTGGTTTCAAAATGGCGACGAGATTCATTTTAAGATGATAAAATATAATTAATTGACATGGAAAAGGGAACTAAACCCCCATTTCATTTTAACGCAGCATTTGTCGTATCTTGAACAAAGAACACCACACTTTCTAGATCTTTCTGCTAACATATATACATATACACACATATACGTAAGTACAAAAGGCTTGGACTGTCGGTTAAAGATCAGGTAAGGAAAAAAAAAAAAAAAAAAAAAATACCGCTAAAGAGATGATTTCAAAGAGGAAAAAAAAAAATTAACATTTGTTTATAATCGGAACAATCCAATTGATATAAGAATTGTAATTATAAGTTATTACGTCTAAGTGACACATACTCGGCAACTTCACCTACGTTTGGTATTGACACGACACGAGCAAGGCAATAGGAACATCCACCATTTTTCGACGTTAAAGTGCGAGTCATGGACGAGCACAACTTGTGCTATGATAAAATTCATTGATGCGTATTTCGTAATATACAATATGTTTGAACATCCATAGAACTATTATTCAACCTTCAAGCGATCACATCAGATTCGACAATTATTAAAAATACCTTAAAATTGTATTAATATTTTGTGATATTTTCAAATGTTACAACATAAATTGATTCTACACGCTACCGCTATGCGAATTCCTATCCCGACAAAAGTTCACGAGTTCGTAATCGATCGCACGACTCAACGGTGAAAATTCCATTCATCTGCGCATATTTCCTAAAATATTCTTGACTTTACAATTATTAGTATTAAATCTTACCTGTGTCAGCAGAAAGAAAGCCACTCGTGCAAAATATCCTGGTGCTGTAAACGCTCCCTTCACTCCACGTAATAGTATTTGACGAACTGTTGTAAGCGCATAGAACTCTCACCAATATTACTGCTCGTACCGTTCTCGAAACTTCCTAGAAGAGTAATGGACGTTACTCGAAAGGGAACCAATCAGATAGACCGAGAATTACAGCCAGCGCCAAATGAAATTACGGTCTTCCTAAGAATTTCGCAAGTACATGTTCTCCTACTCTGTCGGTAATATAGTAAGAAATTGGCTTTTATATCGAACTGAATAAATTTACACATTACATTGCTCAATTTTTTCATATATTGAAATTATAATAAAGTTGAACAATTTTTTTAATTAATAGCAAAATTGAAAAATTATATTTTTGTTATTAATGATAACATACAAGTTTAAAAATTCGAATGGACAAAGCATATTCATTCAAAATACTTTAATAATATTATAGTAAACATTATTGTAAAATAATATCATGAATATTACATTGTACTTTAATTTGTTAAAAAGTTCTAGATATTTCATTAGATAGATACTTAAAATCCCTAAATAGTGGGTAATAATATATTATATGCTCAGATGTAATTATTCCATATTGTTTTAAATATTTCATAATGTTACATAATTATTTTGATAAATTAAATTATTTTTTAACTATATAGTTAATAGGAAGAAGAAAACAAACTTTTTATAATAGCATTGGACAATTGTGAAATGTTTGACCGTTGATGGCGCTGCACGCTTCCGCAACTGTCTTTTTACTAGCGGTATAATAATCAAGCAAAATGGTACGTATTTTGTATCCTATTAATGTTGATTAATCATTGAGAAAAATGTAAAATATTTATGTAAAATATTGTTAATAATATATAATAACATGCTTTCTATAAAAATAATTTTTTTAATACCATTCCTGTCAATATTATTTACCATATTATTGTAGCATGAATTATTGACTCCCAATTACATACGTTATTAATGTAAAATTAAACATAAATGTAATCTTTTTGTACTATACAAAGAAAATTATGAAATTGATTGTTTTCGTTTAGTTTTAAATTCTTTTATTTAAAATAGTATTATCATAATAAAACATAGTATTAAAGAAAACATAACCTCAAAATGTTGTTACTATTTTGTACTATAGACAGAAGGTGCAGTTACTATTAGGACCAGGAAATTTATGAGCAATCGGTTATTATGCCGAAAACAAATGGTATGTGTTCCTAGAAGTATGTATTATTTATTTAAAATCGACGTGCACTTACATTACTCGATTTTAGTTTCATACACAGTATTATATGTTTAAAAGTTTATATGTCACTATAGTTTTGTCAGTATTTGAATTAGCAGATAAAGATTTCTGCAATTATGAGCAACATTATAGTTAACAATCTACAATATTCATGACATAATATCTTGTTGTAGGTTGTGGATGTATTTCATCCAGGCCATCCATCAGTTAGAAAAACAGAAATACGTGAGAAGCTAGCTAAAATGTACAAAGTAACACCAGATGTAGTATTTGTATTTGGTTTCCAAACCAATTTTGGTGGTGGTAAATCAACTGGATTTGCATTAATCTATGATACATTGGACTTCGCAAAAAGATTTGAACCTAAATACAGATTAGCTAGGCATGGATTGTTTGAAAAACAAAAACAGACAAGAAAACAGCGCAAAGAACGTAAAAACAGAATGAAAAAGGTTAGGGGTACACAGAAGAGCAAAGTAGGAGCTGCATCGAAAAAGGTAAAATAACATTTTATCTGTTTTTAAATTACCATTAAGTAACATCACTTGTGTAACATTATATTCCTCTTATGTTTTATAATTATTCAAATAATGAATTTATTGAAATTTTTAGTAATATAAAATAACTTGGTGATGGTTTATATTTTACATAGTTTTAGTAATAGTCTTTATATATGATTTATTTTTTTTATCTTTTATGCTTTCAAACTATATAATATGTATTTCTAATACATGTAACATGTATTTATTTTTTTAGTAATTATCTATTTTTCTAAATAAATTTAATAAATCGTTAGTAACTATTTATAGTGACAGGTAGTGAATTTATTTTACAAATTTTGTTAAAATATTTAATAGCAAGTTTTAAGTACAAACAATACAAAAACCAAACATATGCGGACATTAATATATGTGTCTAATCAATAATAATTTAATATATCTAAATGAACTATACATATTAGTAACATTAAAACATTCAGTTTTTGATATATCAAATATTGTAATTTTATATTAAATTAATATTTTTTATATTTCTTGAGAATTATATAGCCATTGATTATTTAAGATTATTTGAAGTTAATAAACTTTGTTTTATTATTTCTATAATATGAAAACAGTGTCGTACATTATTGATTGGCTATGTGAATGAATAGCATAATTTTCATCATACATGATATTCATTCAATAAATTTTATGTAATTATATATGTAAAGTGAACATTTAATTTATTATATATTTATGCATATATAGTAGATTCCCTCTTAACTGGTTTTTATAAAATAAGATCCCTAATTGAAATTAATTACTGGTGAATCTAGAAATATATGCAGAATATTATTTATAGTGTACAAATAAGTAAAATAATATATACATATGAAAAGAAAAAATATAACAATAGATGGTATATGTATATATAATTAATATTTATCAGCATTTTAAAATAAATTATTTTTGTGAATTTTTTCTATTTCCTATCACATTCTTTTCGAATGTATTAAATCCTTTATGCTTTTAATTTTTGTCTTTTATTTTATTTCAAAATTATATTCAAAGACACTCCAACAAGAAGATTAAATTAAATTTTTCTTGATTATAATTGTTCTGAACTTTAAGTGAAATATATAATACAAAATATATTTTGTTTATCCTGCTTAGTCACCCAATGTGTCTACTTAAGGCAAAACTGGATAAGAAGGAATCTACTTCAAATCTAAATGTATATCATTTTTGCATGCTATTCAGTGGTATACGCTTTTCATTTATATTCTAGGGAAGGAAGTAGTCAAATGCTCAATATTTTTACTACAATTCATCAAGAGGGAACTTAATTATGATGCTCATATATGGTCAGCATGCAAATTTCTAGGTTTCAGTTTCCCTTATATAATGTGTTTTCTGAATTTCCCCCCTTTCTTTTAGATTTGGTTAGATGTGTCTTGTATTGTTTTTTTATGCAGTGTGAAATTTAATAGATATTCTGTAGTGTATATTTCATTTATCTCATGTATTTTCCATTTTAACAAAGTTGCAGTCACATGACAACATTGAAATATAAATAGTTTATATAGTTTCTCATGCTATATACTATTATACCTTATATACTTACATACTCTTAATCATATGTTATGATTTTCATCAAATAGTTTGAAATTCATAATTTGCATTGGAATTTTTAAATATTAAAGAATAATTAATTTTGAAATAGTCAAAGTTAATGTTAATTCTTTCCTTTAAAATTTAGAGTCTTATAATAGAATTTAATATATTCATATTGAGTTTTAGTAGTATATCCAAAGGAGGCTTTATGTATTACTAGTGACAATATTTTTATTGTAAAATAATTATAACATAAAATATATTTTATTAGTGTGGAATTAAATAATACAAGAACACTTTGTTGTATGTTGGAGATTTTCTACTTCATAGTATTATGTATTTATTATGCATTATTTGTCTCTTTTGTGCTTTCAGTAGAAGTAGAACATTTTTATGCATGTGTGGAGTGTAATATCAATTGCTATTGAAGTTAAACATTTCACTGATATCTATTTCTTTTTTTTCTTTTTTATTGCAGTAAAACCATAAGACATCATGAAGACTGCGATTTGTTCAACATGGACGTAAAAATTATTATAATAATTTATTATCACAGATAATTATGATAAGTTTTACAGAATAAAAGTGTACTCTTCTTGATGAAAAATATTCATTGCAGTACCTTTTTTATGCCTCATTGTTTGTACATTTATCCATAAGCATTTATTATGAAAATATTGTATGATATATAAACGTAATCTAATGTCAAAAATGTTTATTTTCATATAAAGATGAAAAATGTCTTTTTGAAAATTTTAATAAATGTGTAAGATGTATAAAAGTTACAAAATATTGGCTATTTAGATAACATATATTATCCCATAAGAACTTCTACAGAAGATCCTACTTGAACATCATTATCAGTTTCATTGTCTTCTAACGATCCGTTTATTTCGGATGAAAAATTCTCGGATAAATCGATCGGTTCAGTAATTCCTATCGTTGTTTGAGAATCAGTGTGCTGCGTCATCAAGGATGTTACATTATGCATCGTCAACGCGGTCGTAAACAAGGTCGTTGGTGAATATTCCGTGACTTCGGGATCATTCGTCATGTTAAAAGTCTCTCCAGTCTCTGCTTGAGTCGACTCTTTTGGATGAATGGTACTTGAAGATTCGAATTTGAATTCATTAGAGGTCTCCTCAAATTCATCTTGATGCTTAAATCCTTTTTTAATAAAATACCAATTGCCAACACTAAATCCCCAATCTTGATTAGAATCAAAAGATAAGGTAGCTGCAATTTAAAAATGATTTAGATGAGCAAAATTTTTACAATAGATTAATACTTACTAATTAATTATGGGACTATTTATGTTTATAATAGCATTTCATACTATATCGTTTTTTAGTATATTTAAAATAACCTATATTTCACCTATATTTCTCATTTTCAAAGTAAAGTGTATGAGAAAATTATAAACTTAGCATTAAATAGTAATATTAAGTAATCAAATAGTAACAAATCTAATATTAAATCTTTATTTACATATATTTAATAAATGCCATTCGTGATTTCTTAATCTTCTTATTAATTCAAATCTATCCAAGTCGAACATTTCAATTGTCAAGAAAGGCATTGTTGTCGTGGTTGTTTGTCCAAATATTCTCTCATGAATTTGATTTTTTATATTACAAAACCAGTCTTTTACATTTTGCAATAATTCATCACCCCGGAAATCTGTTAACAATCTATTATTTCCTGTAACAAAGAAACTTAAATTGCTATTTGTGAATTGAAATGTTATATACTAAATTGTATTAATAGGAGTAATGAAATCTTAATATAAAAATTTTTGAAAGTATGTTAGGGAATTTAAAGTCGTTGTATTTGAATTTATCACTAAAATAACTTAACATATCGTAACACCTGCACTATAAATTTTAATTGATGTAGACGAATTACAAATTGTAAGCACTAAGAAGGTAACTAGGACTCGCATTTTTTTTGGAATACTGAAATCTATGAACAAATGTTCATGCTTTTATATATATTCTTCCGGAAGTAAATGCTCATTACATATTTTTATCGAGAATCAAGTAACTTCCAAACTGATGTTATGCAATTTTTACGACCTTGTTTGTCTTGATTCTAGTGATGATTATTGTATAGAGAAGATTGATTGATAACGAAGCCATGTCAAATATTTTCAAATATATATCTAAATATAATGTAATTTCGGTAAATATTTGACACGTTAATGTAAACATCTATTTCATTTAATCGAATATTTTATTCATGGCACGTATCGCCTTCATTAATAAAAGGAATATAAGCAATATATATTTTAATTTTAAATTTCATAAAAACGTATATATGAAAATCTACATATATTTGTTATGATTAACTCTTATTCTAAATACATGAGCTATTTTAGTGCTCAGCAGAATATTTGATTTTACGCAGACAAAATTTCATTGTATATTGTTATGTTTAATCAAGTTTGTAGAAGCCATCAATAGAAATAATCTATTGATTTTAAGACACTGACAGGCGCAGATTTATAGATGAAGTTCATACAATAGAGTTCGTGTATAACACCTACTGTATGTTGATTATAAGTCGTTATATATTTATTTTATCATCTACAGTAAACATATAGTAAAGGTTATAGGCTCTAACATATTAAAAATAGGAAATATATTAGAAATCCAATTTACGATTATTTTTAATATGTTACATTATTATGAATTACATATTGATTATTGTTACTCGTTTTATCATTTAAATTGATGCAGGTAACATTTTCAAAAATTTATTTTTTAAATATGATAATAGTAACATTAAATATTTAATTTTTATTATTTCGAAATTTTTAATAAAATTATTTATATTATATCGTGATACATTATTTCGTATTATACAATATTACTAATTAATTAATATTTAAGTAGTTGTATAATTTTATGGTGAACTACATCGCAATAATAATGAGATTAGTATTTTACATTAGGTTGTATTGAATACTGAATGTTGTAGTCCAATTTAATTTCAATATTACGCAATTTTGAGACGAGTTGTAATGTAATATAAGTATTCTATAATCTATTAATCGTATATGTACAATCAAGCTTATAACAGCAGAACATTATTGCCGTAGTGGTTGTTTACAGCACGAGTGTGACAAAGGTATACATATGTATCGTGCAGATATATTGATTTCGCCTTAAACACCAGAAAAAGTTGAATCTTCTGATATTATATTATGTTTTCTTTTTTATACAATATTATAAATTATATTAGATAGATTATATTATATTATATATTATACATTATAATAGATTATATAATAGATTATATTTTCGTTGTTATTTATGTTCTGTTCTATGAACGTAATGCATTCTCACAGCGGTCAGTTGAAACTGTTTTATGTTCAAGATTAATTAATTTAAAATTAAGTTAATGAAATAATTAGTTGCCAAGGTAAAGAATTGTCATACTGTATATTTTGGATACAGTTTACGGTCAACAACATTGAAATAATATTTTTTGTTACTTTTACAAGTATTCTTGACTGCTTAAATAAGCTAAACGTGCTTTAACGTCTTTTGTAACTTTATTGGTTATGTGATTCCTATGTACATACATATGTGTATATGTGAACTTGTATTTTACTATATTGTAAGTTATATGTGTGGTAATAAATTTGTTAAAAGTCTTTTTAATTGTGAGGTAATCGGCATAATGTTACAAGTATTAGATTAAACCCTTAAAGTCTACTTGGTGTTGAGGGATTGTTAAATTCCAAATCACATATCGCAGTGGTATCTTCCATAGTGACACGCATAGCTACAAATCTGCTAGTGTTTTTCGTTTATATACGCATGCTCATAACTCGAAGAAACTTATTCTGGTATACATTTTGCTGAAAAGCACGTTCATGAACATATACCAAATTGTTGAAATTTGTTGAAACATTATCTTCAATCCATCAGCTAATGTAAGTACAGAAGTGTATGTTATAAAATCTCAACATTTTCATAATGTCTGTGTATAAATTAAAAATTTACGAACAGGTTATAGTAAATTGTAAAGAGTGTACGTAGTGTAATAATATAACCTATTGTTGATACAGTAATGTCATTATTTTATCAATTGTGAAAGTAATATGTTATATAAATCTGTTTATTTGTATTTGTAATATGATTAGGAAATTAAAAAATATTATTTTTGACAACTGACTGCAATTATAGAATTTTTAATACGTTTTGTGGATCATTTAGTGAATTCTCTAAATTAGGTTGTATTGGCTGAGTCACGTGATATAAATCAGGGACGAAATAGTATTTGAAAGATCCCTTTGTAAGATGTGTAATAGTTCGAATGTAAAAATCGTACTTCAGGTAAAACATCTAAATTCTAAAATATAATATAATAAAATGAAATTACATTTCTGCAGATATAAAACATTTAATAGTTTGGTTTTATATATACATTATATTTATAACGATTTTGATAAAATTAATTTTTAACAAATTTAAAAATGTATTTTTAGTACCTAACCTAACCATACTTCGAATTATCAATAAAAAGAAAATTTATTTTCCTCAACTAAAACTGTTTATTTGAATCAAAGAATTATCTAATATATTTTTCCACAAATATTTATCATAAATTAAAAATTAAGTTTAATAAAACGAATATAATAATTATTAGATTTTTATAATAACTGCATAAAATCATACCAGTAATTTACTTTATCTATTATGCGTATATTTATAGTTCAAATAAATATGTTAATGAACAATTTTTATTGATTAACGTATATTTAAGAGAGAAATGCTAGTATTCATAACAAATTGTAATATTTATTGATGTTCGTCATACGAATGTTCTATTGTTGAAATAACCAATTATGTAGTGCAATAATTAATATCATATTTCTGGAAATAATATTAATATTTTTACCTAATTACATAGGTATTGTATAAAAGGATTACGAAAATTATAGTATAATATTATATAAATATTTATATAAAACATGTAAAGGAATAATTTTTATCTTATTTACATATATGATCAAATCTCAATGCAGAAAATCAAAAATAAAATTTATATAGCTTACATTATACATAAAATTAGAAAACAATTATAATTTGATATATTTGCGAGCATTCTTGTCTTAAACTAACCTTAAATAAATGTATATTTTATTACATCGAATTTCGTAAATTCGTGTTTAGTTTATTATTCTGTAAGATCATTTCAATATAATAATATAGTTCATGTTAAATTTTCAAATAAAACACCCTAAATAATTTTTCCATTTATTATTAATATTATTCAAATTCTATGGTCTGTTTATTTTAGTTCAAGTACATTTAATATATTGTTCAATATATTATATATTACTTTTATAATTATATGAAATTTTATAATATTGTAAGTTACAATTTGTAATTAAATTGTAATATTAATTTTTTGTTAGATCAGTATTATACATAATAATGGTTAGTGATTAAGACCTAAAATATTGATTAGAGTAAATTAAATTGTTGCAAAGCAAATGACATTTCCAACAGTCCGATTTGTTATTATATCAAAAAAATATAACATAGATCAAGGGAAAAACTGATGAACATCGGACTAGTAGGGAGGGAAATAAAATGGCGGATCGTTTCACACGGTTTGCATACAACACATTCACACTGTATTGACTCGCAATTTCGTTTAGGTTTTAACCTCCATATTTTGAATTAAAATGTTCGAGAACGTACCCTCTGATGAAAAATATGGACATGATAAAGAAGATATTATGGAAGAATTAGAACATAAGCCATTATTAGTATCTATACCTAAAATAGAACCATTATTTCCTAATATATCTATCTCGAATGAAGATACGTCAAATGTTGTAAGTACACATGCATGTTATGTATATATCTAATTTTCTATATTTTTTTAGTACATGGTTTTACTTTTTTTTGCTAGACAAATTAGATGTCTATTAGATTAATTTGTAATAGTTTTAAATGTATTATCATGCGTAAATAATTTAGTATTATTGAAAATTCCTTGAATTTTAGTATTGTGGTTTATTATTATAATATATTATATATTTATCAATTCTTTTGTTTTTAAGAAAATAATAGAGAATAATTAGTTTACATTTGTGTCATACGGCGGGAATTTTAAATTTATGTAATTTCTTATTTTATAATATATAAATTTCCATTTTTATTTTACTTTAAAATTATAAGAATGAAAGTGTGAGCTTCTATTAGTCAAAATATTTTGTTCTTTTCAATAATTGAATATCTTTAAATTTTACTGTAATTTCATTTGTTAAGATCTAGAAAGCAAAATATTGTATTTATTATTTGTGTTTATATGTAATATAATTAATAAGAAATTAAAAACTTAAAAGTGAAATTCTTGTATTTATGGATGTATTCTTTATTTTCATAACTACAGATTTAATTTTAATTTTTACAACTAATAATTGTTTTTAGAAAACTTTAGGACAAAATTTCTGTAATTTTTATATTTATAGTTATCGATCTAAGTTCGGTTCCAATCATTTGTACATAAAATAGGTTATAATACAAATATGATTATTATTATGTAATACAGTAATAATTTTAAGTTTTACATTAATTGTAGTAATCATATTATTTTATGAAGCATATGCTATATTATTATACATCAAAATAATTATGTTTTAAATTGATTAATATGTTATTATAAGAAGTAGATTATTCTTTTATATTATACTTCATTCTATAATATCTATTATAATATATTATTTGATTAAAAAAATACAAAATTTACTCATATATACCTATATCTTTTTCAATTTTAGGATGAACTGGCAATTCCATTTGTTACCCCATATAAGGTAAAGGATCCTATTATCTTACTTGAAAGATGTGACAAGATATGGGAGACGTTAAAAATAGTAAAAAATATACAAGATAGAAATAAGAGTAATGTGTTTAATTCATTACCATTAGAAGTAACAGCTGCAAAATCTACAAATGTATTAAATGATAACAAGTATATTGAATACCAACCAGTATTAGGTAATAACAGTGCTGGATTACCAAATTTTAAATTGTCTGTAAAAAATAAAAAAAAATTATATCAATGCGTTACATGTGGAAAACAATATTCCTTATATCGAACAATGAGATATCATTCACAAAAAATACATGGTATTTATATACCAACAAAAACTATGAAAAATGATGAAAAAAAAATGTTAGACAAGGAAATGATGATCAATGAAAAAATTAATTCTCTATACGATAATATACCCTTATTAACTTGTACATTATGTAAACAAAGTATAAGAGATATGAGAAAACATTTAGTAGATTATCATAAAATTGAGTCACCTAACTTCATGTTGAAAAAATTAGATGAAAAACTTACTGTTTCAGAAGGTAATAAATTGAATGTTTTTAATAATGAAAATAAAACTTTGAATGAAATTAGTCAAGAGAAACAAAGAAATTCTTTGTATTTTCAAAACGTACGCCGACGAAAATCAAATGTACGATATAAAAATGGTAAGAAAAGATATATGGGTCGTAGTGAAGACTATGATAACTTAAAGATATTAAGAAACAAGAAACGTAAGTGTGAAATTTGTCTTGGCCTGTATCAAGTAAGTAGTTTCTTTAGACATATTCGGGTTCACCGTACTCGTGGAGAAACAAAAGAAAATTTTCATTTATCTACTAAAAAATACGCTAATTCCCCCTTACATCGAAAGTCAAAAAAAAATTTTAAAATAGATGATATATTCTTTCCAAGTACAAAGTATAATGCTAAATATAATTCAAATCTATCTAAGAATAATGAAGGGGAAGAACAGATTATGCAAAATGAGAATAAGGATAAGAAGATGTCAGATGTATTTGTTTGTTCTTGTGGAAGATCATTTCGTAATCCTCATACTTTGTTTACCCATAAAAAATATTGTATTTTATCAAAGGAATTAGAATTGTTACAAACAGCAGATAGTGTTGCACAAAGTGATTCTGATAGACATTCTGGAACTGGACTTAGCATAACAATAAAGAAAAAGAACAATTCTTATGAAATTATTGATAAAGACAATGGAAGTGGGAATAAGTTGCAAGATATCAGGCATTCAAACGTTATTAATGAATCATTAGATACATCTGAGAATAATACTCAAATAGAATTACAAGATTATCCACGTGAAATTCTAGAGTTATCCAAGTACAGTGAAAGACACAGCATTTTGAAGCTTGAATCTGTTAATGAAGATGTTGATATCGATATTGAAGATGATTCAGAAGCTAATTTTTCTAATAATAATATTTCCAATTCTGCATGTGAAGTAGTAAATAATTTTAGTCAAGAAAGAGAAGAATCAACAATAAAGGTAGAACAAGATGATAAATCTTATCAAGAGAATAGTAACTCTGAGCTTTTGCAAGAAACTGCTCTTTCTAAAAATGATAGCAAACAATCTAATGACATTAAAGTTAATTTTAAAACAAAATACAATGTTTGTTTATGTGGTTATCAATTTTATACTAAAAGAGCTCTTGAAATTCATATTAGCAAACATCATGCAGGTTCAAAACTCCTATGCGGGTACTGTAAAGCTAATTTTCCTAATGCTACCGAATGGAATAAGCATTTATGTTCTGTTACTCAGGGAAAAAAATTTGTTCCTCTACCATTGGAAATAAATTGTCGTTATTGTAATATTACTTTAAATGCATATAAAAAATTTGATGATCACGTAAAACTTAAACATTTTGATCCTATATTACCATTTCATTGTTTTCAGTGCCATAAACGATTTTCAAATACTACAGCACGAAAAATGCATGCTGATACAGATCACAAGATAACTATTTGTTCTATTTGTAATAACAAATGTTTAAATTTTATGAAATCCAAACATAAAGCATATCATTATGGACTTGGATTTCCTTGTCATTTTTGTAAAAGAACTTATACCTGCAAAATACATTTACTAAGACATAACAAAGCAGTTCATCACAACATATTAGAATCTTCAATTTATGATTTGAATCAATTGTCTTTCATGAATTCTACAATTTCTGATTTAGGCAATAATAGTTAAATATTCCTAAAATTATAAAATCATCATAATAAATATATTGAAATGGAAAGTTTAAGTATGTAGTTTGATTTATAAAAAACAAATGTCAATGAAATGAACAGAGATACAATTTATAATTCATTCTTTTCCTTGTTTTTTTTTGTTTTATTCTTCTTTCTTCTTTTTTTTTTCTAATTAAGGATCTAATGAACGATACATTTTGCTATGAATTTTGTTATATGTATTACATATTTGTAATAAAGTATATACGTATATGTATATAACGCACAAAAGACATACACCACTGTGGTATAAAGTAATGTAATTGTATATAAATAATAACGTGTACATAAAGGTGTATTATAACATTTAATTTTTATTGACTAAGTACGCACCATATAATTGAATTCAGTGTCGATCATAAATAAAGTGTTAATATATGATTACTATAGAGGAGTAGAGTAATGACTCATGTTAAATTTTGAAGAAATATTAATTTTGGTCTTAACTATATATATTTTGATTAATGATACATGATTAATATTATAATTTTATTTACATTATTTTGTTGTAATTATCTTTAGTTATCAATTTAATGTAGAATTTTTTATGAAACCAAGATATAAAATATATTTATAAGATATTGGTAATGTGAATGCTTTGTATTTTGTAGATATACCAAACAGTTATTATTCTTAAAAATATATAAATTTTTTAAAGTTAATGTTGACTTATATTAAT